GAAGAGTGATACTACATCCATCCAGGTCTATCGTAAACTGGGTTTGGCCATTCTTCAAACCAGCCTATGTGCACTGAACTTTTGTTCTGTTACAGATTTAAACCAGTTTCCAATCACTTATACCAGTTTATGTGTAATTTTTGTTCCTAGCCAAAATGTCTATGCCACTAAGGAGAAACATCTGTATGCAATTCCCTGCTGTTTCCTTACTACTCCAGGAATCTTTAAGATTTGATCAGAGTCCTTTAAGAAAAACAAGATCATTCATCTCCCCTTCCACAGCTTTATGTACTGACTGTGATATCTTTTGCAAAATGGTATCTAGTCTTTGCCACCATTGTGCAACCTCCCTGGTCAACCTCAAGTTCCCTGTCAAGTCATAACCCTTGATGTCTAGATTTGAAAAAATAGTTTTTCCTTGGGCAGTAGTTAGTTCTTTGTCCAAAAGTGCTTCCATTTTAATGGACAGTCATGAAGGACTTAATAATTTTATTTTTGCTTTTAGTTAAATGCAAAAATTTTTCCCAATACCAGTCAATTTAACCCCACGTGGAGGGGAAGGCACAGAAAATCAAAATGGTGTCCAGAAAATGAAATTGAGTTTGTAATTTTATTAGCTAACCATGCCATAAATATCGCACTGGATCAAATCACAGATCTATCTATCCCAGTATCTTGTATCTTTCATTAGAAGGGAGCATATGCTAAGAGAACAAAGGCCTATCCATACTGATCTGCCCCTTGACTCCCTTCATTTTCCACTATTCAGAGGCCTAGGGGTACAACCTAATTACAACGTCTATCTGTCAAGTTAAGCATCCACTTACACATCTACTGTCTGTTAATTCTGGTCTGACCCTTGTTTGAACCTAGTTAAATGATCAAGTTCTACAACACAGTGTTGCAAGGAGTTCCACAAGTTAATTACATGTTGTATGAAAAAAACATACTTATTTTGTTCATTTTAAACCCACTTCCTTATTACTTCATCATATGACTCCTACCTCTAAGATGGTGAAAGACCAGAAACAGTAAATCCTTATTACTGTACATTTTCTTTCCTCCAGTCTATATTATTGCCCTCACCCACCCAATCCTCTTCTCTAAACTGAAAAAAACAGATAATTTAGTCCAGGGGTTTTCAGCCTTTTAAAATAAGTGTACCCCTTCTGGCTCAAAATTTCAACTCCTGTACTCCTTTATATTTTTTCTTGTTGTGGAGGAGGGGGTGCAGATTGAGGCCCCCACGGTGAGAGAGGTAGTGGGGCTGGGGCATGGGTCAGAGCTGCAAGCAGCTTATCCAGAGGGTGTGGGGGGAAAGGGGGCAGCTCCCACCACTGCGCACACCCCAGGAGGGCATGAGGAGGTGCATGCCCCTGGATCTGCACACAGGGCAGGCTGGGGCAGAGCTGGACTGCGCTCAGGGCAGGCGGCAGCAGCACTAGGAGCAGGGGTATGGGAGGGGCTGCAGCCACTGCAAAATTTGCCATAGCCCCCCTAACCATGCTCCTAGTGTAGCTGCCACCCAGCCTGAGTGCAATGCACTCAGGGAGGGTACAGGGCCAATTTCTGGCATATCTGGCAAAAAAGATTGACCCCACTGGTATAGCCTATCATGGATGTATACTGAGGCCTAATAACATTTTCTGTTATGCTCGATTCCATCTTAATTTCCTAACATTTTATTTATTTAAATTTTGGACTGTTCCTGAATCCTGAGCCAGTGTTTTCAGAGATTTCTCTCTTTTGATTAGTAACTGCTAATATGCCTTGCATCATTATATATCTGCATGTAGATTTCTTCCTCCCCTCCCCCATACACCCCCCCCCAATCTGCACTTACCAGCTTGAACTTCTGTCATTTTGTGGCTCATTCAATTTTACAAGAGCTTGCTTCCATTCTCCAGCCAGATTGCTTTTTTGTGTGTGTTCATTTGTTTGTATTTTACTACCCTGAATAATTTGGAGTAATATGCATACCTGGCCATCTCTCCATTGTTCTCCCTTCCCAAGTCATTTAGATCATAAAAGGCATTTATGCCAAAACAACATATATTCTTATTTCGACCCAACTATTATCCCAGATATTCTTATGCATAAAGAACCCACTTCTATCTAGAGTTGTAGAGTCACACAGACAGGTACAACACACATTCTTTTAAATGCATTTGTGCATATAATTGTGAAATACAGAAAAGAGAAACTTGGGTTAGAAAAAGAGGTGCTGACAAATTCAGTAACATTTGAGCCCTGCAGAGAACATGCATCATGACTTTTTTTAGTTGAATACAGGGGTAGGCAACATTTTTTGGCTGGAGTGCCGAAAAAACCACAATGTCTACCTTGGAAGGTGCCAGAGTGCTGGCATGTCAGAAAAACAAAATAAGGGCGGCCGGGGGTGGGGGGTGTACATGGCATGATGCACTGCATATTAGTATATTTAATAATCATAAATGTTGTTGTGTACTCCTTTTTTGTTGAGCATGTTGCAATGAGAGAGAGAGAGAAAAAAGAGACAAAGAAGAGGAGAGAGAAAGAAAAAGAGCAGCAGAGAGAGAACCAGACACGTGTGTACACACAGACACGCCCAGAACCAGACACATGCACGCACACACACCCAGAACCAGACACATGTGCACACACATACACAGAGAACCAGACAGAGGCAGACAAACACAGAGAACCAGATGCGCAGACACACGAAGCTGGGTTCCTGGGCCACTGGACAAAGTCCAACCCAACAGTGCCTTGGTCCTGCCAGAGCCCCTGTGCTTCCCTGGAGAGCCAACCCCCAGGCTGCAGCACAGCTGGCCAAGGCCCTGGCCCGGAGCCTTCCCATCTGCTCAACCACCCATCTACCCTGCACAGCTAAGCCTGCAAAAGGTGCAGTGTTCCTGGTAAGGGGCAGCACCAGCCTCATCCTGGTGGGGGACTGAGCTGGGGCTGGGCTCGGAGTGGGTGGGAGTTAGGGGGGCTCAGCTGCAAGCCCTGCTGCAAGCAGCCTGGGCTCTGTGGTTGGCAGCAACTACGGGAGCCTGGGCCAGCTGCAGCCAGGAGGCTGCAAACAGCTGCTCCGGGCTCCAGCATCAGCTCCATACTGGTGGGTGCACATGCGCCTCAGAGCAGATGGTGGGGTTGGGGCCTGAGGCAGCACAGCCTTCCTGCTGTCCACTCTGAGCTGCATGTGGAATTGCCACCAGCATGGAGCTGATGCCGGGGTGTGGAGCCCAGCGCAGCTGTTTGCAGCCTGCCCGCTGCAGCTGCCCGGAGCCCAGGCTGGCTACAAACAGCTATGCCGGGCTCCAGAGCCCAGTCATCAGCTCTGTGCCAGCAGTGGGGGAGAAGCCAGGGTTGTGCTGCCTCAAGCCACTTCCCCACCATCCACTCTGAGACACACCTGCACCTGCCAGTATGGAGCTAATGCCGGAGCCCAGAGCAGATGTGTGCAGCCTTCTGGCTGCAACTGGCCCAGGCTCTGGGTAGTTGCTGCCAACCACGGAGCCTGCTTCGCTTGCAGCAGGGCTTGCAACCGCCCAGCCGCCTGCTGGGAGCAGCCCAGGCTTTGTGGCTGGCAGCAGCTGCCTGGAGCCCAGGCTGGCAGTGGTGTCCTGAGCAAAATGGCCTTGTGTGCCATACTCAGCACACATGCTGCAGGTTGCTGACCCCTGGTCTAATACTACACCACTGGGCCCTGATTATACTTAGGCAGTGGAGCTGCTTTCCCTGTAAGCAGTTACTAATATGTGTATAAGAGATTACAGGATTGGGGCTTACAACTGCTTGAGAACCTTGGGCAATGTGTTACATATACCTTCATTATCCTTTAGATGTTTACCAGGTTGTTTTCTCACTGGGATAAAGTGTTCCAGTTGTGTTTGTCCTATCCTCATTCCTACTCTTCTCTCCCCCGCAACCCTCCCTCCCCACTTCTGCTTCAGGGACAGGGAAGTGCTAGCAGCTTTGGCTCACAGGTCAGCAGGAATTTTAGCACAGCAGCAAGCTAGTGTTTGGACCACCCCTCCGTGTTTTTTTTTTCCTTCTGATGCAGGAGACTATTTAATTGGGAGCTGACAGTCAAACTTCAGCTTCAACGGCTGCAGTCTATAGTAGCTGTGTAACCAATAACTCATTTTTTTCCTTCTCTCTTCATTCACTCACTCTCCACAATGAAGGTACTGCTGAGTCTGATTGTTCTGCTCTCTGTTTTGCTGTTTGTTAGTTCAGCTCCTCCAACTTGCTACTCAAGGATTCTGTCTTTGAGCAAAGAAATCACTGAATCCTTCAAGTCCTTGAAGAACTCCAAGCCTGTGGTGAGTTGATCTAAACTGATACTTGAGAAAAAAAGATGTAGTTTGTTGCTTTTGAAACAACTGTCTAGAAGGGGAAAAATTCAAATTGTTTCTCTACTTTACTATAGGACCCGTGTGTAGAGACATTGCCCAACCTCTACTTGGATGTACATGTAAGTTTTCATTATTCATTTGTACTGCCTTGTATTAAAAAAAAATCAAATGGCAAAAGTGATTATGTAGGATGCATTCTAGGAACTTGAAACAAACTGTTACTTCAAAATTTTAATCAAAACCAGCTATGGTAAGTGAAAAGCAGTATTTGTAAGAATTTTTTTGTTTGTTAAAATATTTTAATTTCAACACTTCTGAAAATATAAACAATTTCTCAAGTAAGAAACATTTGTATTTTACCAGTTTATTGTACTGTAACTTTAGTAGCAGCTAATTTATTCATAGAAATGAATGGAATAATAGATGAAATGGTCAAAAGTAGGAGTATGATATTGTTTCTATTTCCACTTTTGGCACATCTGGCTAATAAAACTGGTATTTCAGTAAACACAAGGGGAGGAATGTTTTTTTCCTTAACACACACGCACCTCTTCAAATGAAAATGTTCTACATGATAAGAGAGAATGACAGGAACAGTGATAAAGAGCTGTGTGATCTTCACTCCTCCCCCAACAGATATAAGCAGTATAAGTAATTTATATTCCATCTTAACCAGTGAAGTGTATATAATGCACCCACAACCAAAACCAGACTATTTTACAACCCAATGTTGTTATTTCCAAATCAAATAAGGGCTAACTAAAGCTCATGAACTCTTGGGTTCCAAATCCAGTTCTGGCACTGACTCTTTGCATAGCAAATTAATTTAAGTGCAGTTCTTGTTTTCCTGGATTTCAAAGTATAGCAACATTTACCCACTTCACAGGAATTTTATGAAATTAGTATGTGTGGTAGTTTGACAAGGTAAAAGTTCTCAGTAGGACTATTGTAAGCAAAATTCTGCTTGGCTCTCAGACGAAGTTATGACCAGGGTATCTTAATAAGCATATATTATAACAAAATGAGCTATTCCCATAAGAAGTGCCAGTCTATCCTGTATCCAAATCCTTTAACTCCAGGAGTAAAATTCAGTGAAATGTATAAAATGTTGTCACTGACCTCTCTGAAAACAAGTGGTAGGAAGCCATCTATGACATCATATGGACTTGAGACACTGTAGATATGCCAGTTTTCCAAACAATAAAATGAAAAAAACTTTGCATTATGATGCTAATCCCTGCCCCCCCATCCCCAAACACCCTTCAAGCATGTACATAGAGGTGAGAGCTGTAAACTCGCAAGCAGGAAAGCAGGAGAAAACATTTGCAAATGGCTATAACCAGAAGCAAAAATCTCCCTAAACTGCTTCTATGAAAAGGTACAAGCACTTTCTTTTTATGTGTTGCAGAATTATTGTGTGTTGGCCAAACTCCGTAACTTTGTGGCACAGCCCAGATGTCAGCGAGTTCCTCAACTGAGTACTTTGAAGGAAAAAGCCAGGAGCTTGTACACCATTATGATCTCTTACTGCAGAAGGGTATGTGCAAAGTACATTCCACTCTCTACCAGATTCACCCCCCATTACTTTTTGTGGAGTTGAATCAGGATCGAAGCTTCTCTGTTTCCACTTCCCTCTTCTTTTTGTAACATTAGTTATTTCTCTTCTTTCCTAGGACTTGGTCTTCCTGACAGATGACTGTTACGCTTTGGAAAGCCCCGTTCTCACTCCCACTGATCCATCCAGCACTTACAGCTAAAACAGTCAGCCCAAAGGAATTACCTAGGACATTTTTAAGGAGGCCAAGAGCCAAAAAAAGAAAAAAAAATGCATCAGCTACAACATTAGCAACCTTGTCTTTTTCAAGTACACTAGCAGTATTATCTCAGACCTACCTATGTTTCTCAGCCACGGCAGGAAATGAACTGCATGCCTTACATACCTACCAAGCTGCTAGCAAAACTATGGTTAGAGTGCATTTTATTCGTTTGGCAGTTTACCTTGTTTCAGTTTAGCCAAATGTACAATGCATGTTTTATGTCAACATCACAAGGTAAATGTTAGAGTTATTGTTCTTTTATACGAATCTAGAAATTCATAAGAGTATACATTAAGATTAATATTCTAGCCTAATTTAGTGGTTCCTCTTTTATTACAAGCAGGCTTGCAAACTGACTGTTTTTTCTCTAAAGGAGCAAGGGATTGTTATTTTTTTTTTTTTTTTTTTTTTTTTTTTTTTTGCAATATCTTTTATTGGCCAGCTGTATAGTTGGGATTCCTAAATCATGTGGTAGAAGTATTTGTCTGTACTGGCCAATATCTATGTAGCTGTGTCACTCAAACATGTTGATGGCTTCTTTTTTAATCAAATGTATATCCATAGATGAAAGTAACCCCTTCTTAGTGGAAAAACTAAAATAAAAAAAAACCTTCTACCCAGAAAATCCAGTGTCAGTGTTTTTCATGTGTACACAGAAATCTGTTACCTTTGTAACTTGCTTTTCAGTCACCCCACAACTTGTTTTTCACAGAATGAGCCATCTTTAGCTTTGTTTCCATAGCAATACAAACATTTCCTTCTCTACAGAATTTGGAAATAGTGAGTTTCCTCTCAAAAGTATGTTTCTAAAAGTTTTTAGGAACACAATCAACCACATTAAAAAGAAAATATAATTTTAAAGTTAACCTTTTTAAAAAGCAGAACACCATAGGAATATTCATTTTAAAATTATAATTTCTGCTTTAAAAGGACACTGGACGGTGAACAAGTTCACAGAGATTGTTCAATACCTTCAGGGTTAATATTTCCTTTTTGTTAATACAAATTGAGCACATAAATGTCATAAGAAAAACTTGACTCCTTTGTTTGAAAGATGTTTGACCATAAATCTGTTCAGCTATTGAACATTACATATTTCTATGGAAATAGTCGCATGTGCTCCACAGAGATTGGTTTGGAAGCCGTCTCCAAGAATCTTCAAGAGCCTAAGAATTGCAAGTATCCCATTACACTACATGAACTTAATAGTACCCAGTGAAATGCCAAGTCAGAAAGCAATTCAGAACAAGCAAGCACAGAGGGTTCTTATGTAAATTTTATTTCCGTATAGTAAACTCTCCCCCCCAACCCAATAAACCCTCAAAAAACACCATAAGCAAAACCCAGCAGCAACAACAACAAAAGAAAAAGAACTTCAAAGACTAAAAGGCCTTATCTAAAGTGTAGATGTCTGATGTTCAGGAAGGGCAAGCAAGAAAGAAGAGGAAGAGGAATTGCATTTTATGTAAAAGAGCCATATGATTGCTCAGAGCTCCAATATGAAACTGGAGATAGGCCTGTTGGAAGTCTTTGGGTTAAGGTTAGAAGGAAGAGCAACAAGGGAGATGTTGTGGTGGGTGCCTGCTATAAACTGCCTGACTAGGAGGGAGAGGTAGATGAAGTTTTCTTCAAAGAGCTATCTGAAGTTTGCCCATCACAGGCCCTGGTTCTCATGGGGGACTTCAATCACCCTGACATCTGCTGGGAGGGCAATACAGCAGTGCACACACAATCCAGGAAGCTTTTGGAGAGTATTGGGGACAACTTCCTGGAGCAAGTGCTGGAGTTGCCAAGTATGGGCCATGCTCTTCTTGACCCACTGCTCACAAACAGGCCTGAATTGGTGAGCAATATAGTACTGGATGGCAACTTGGGCAGCAGTAACCACAAGATGATTGAGTTCAGGATCCTGGGGAAAGGAAGGAGGGAGAGCAGCAGACTAAGGACCCTGGGCTTCAGAAAAGCAGACTTTGGCTTGTTCAGGGAACTCATGGGCAGGATCCCCTGAGAAACCAATCTGAGGGGGAGAAGAGTCCAGGAGAGCTGGCTACACTTAAAAAGAAGCCTTACTGAGAGTAAGGCTCAGGGACTACCATGATGACAGGCAGGATAAAATGCTGAGCTGGCTCAGTGTTGTTTCTATCAGATCAGTGGCAAAAGACCCAAATGCTTCAGTGCCACAAGAGTAACCCTATAGAGAATCTTTGCTTATATCACATTAATCTAAAGGATGAACAGAGCCTTACTGAGAGTGCAGGAACAAGCCATCCCGATGCGCAGGAAGACTAGCAAGTATGGCAGCAGACCAGCTTGGCTTAGCAGGGAACTCTTCAGAAAACTAAGTCACAAAAAGGAAGCTTATAAGAAGTGGCAATCTTGACAAATAAATAGGGAGGAGTATAAAAGCATTGCTTGGGCATGCAGGGATAAAGTCAGGAAGGCAACTGGAGTTGTAGCTAGCAAGGGACATGAAGGGTAACAAGAAGAGTTTTTACAAGTATGTCGGTAGCAAGAGGAGGATCAGGGAAAGTGTGGGTCCCTTACTGAATGGGGGAGGCAAACTTGTGACAGAGGATGCAGAAAAGGCTGAAGTGCTCAATGCCTTCTTCACCTCAGTCTTCACAGGCAATGTCAGCTCCCAAACTACTGCACCAGACAACAGTTTGGGGAGAAGGTGAGCAGCTCTCAGTGGTGAAAGAACAGTTTAGGGACTACTTAGAAAAGCTGGACATGTACAAGTCCGTGAGGCCAGACAGGATGCACCCAGGGGTACTAAGGGAGATGGCTGATGAGACTGAAGAGCCACTGGCCATCATCTTTAAAAACTTATGGC